ATTTAAAAATGAAAAAGGATCCCCCAGATGTTGAGAGCAAAATGAAACAAATGATCCTAATTGTGTTTCAGGTTGGTTAGTTTAGCAACATAGATAATTATTTCAAATTCCTTTACATCACAGCAATTTCATTATTTGTAGTTTATATCCTAAGTATAAAAATAATTACAATCAATAGTGTGCATTTCAGTGACAGCGATAAGAGTAACTTTGACACACTTATGCATGAAACAATTGATGTCTGAGATCTCCTGTAGCATAATTTATTGGAAGAGAGTAAGGGTTTATATTATTTTGCTATGGCTGTATAAATTACCACAGACCAAGTGGCTTAAAACAACAGAAATGTATTGTCTCACGGTTCTGGAGGCCCAAAGTCAAGGTACTGGCAGAACCCTACTCCTTCTGAAACTGGGTTTTTCCCTCCTTGCCTCTTCCTAGATCATAGTGTTGCCAGCAGTCCTTGGTAATCCTTGGCTCCTGGCTGCATCAGTCCTAACTAACTCCTCTACCTTCACATTGCATCCTCATTTTTCTGCCATGTATTTCTGGAAAATGGCCAGATTTTGCAATTTTCCAAGGACTCTAGTCATATTGCATTCAGGACCACCATAATGTCCTCATCTTAATTTGATCAAACCTGCAGAGACCCTATTTCCAAACAAGGTTACCTTCTCAAGTACTAGAAATTGGGACTGTAACATATTTAGGGGATGTGACAAATCAACCCATTATAATATATAGATGGAACAGTATTAGTGGTGGTTGAAACTTGCTTGAAGTTTCATTGTACATTTTGCTCTTTTATATTGCTGCAAATTTTCCACAATTAATTTATTTTTAAATTAGGTACCAACCATACAATTTCTAGAATGTTTCTCTTTTCCAGAAACATAAACATCTGGAGGATGTTTACAAATGTGCCATCCTACCCTCTATCATGGTGATATATATAATTCCCTGCATACAGCTCCTTCATTCTCTAACTTAGAAACTTTGTGAGACTGAAAATACAAGCAACATTTTTATAGAAATGACTTGGATCATTTTATGAATCTGGCTGAAGAATAAGGTGGGGAAGGACACTTCAGGAAATAAATCTGGAAGGTTGACTTAGGTTCAAAGACTAATGATAACTTCACCCCCATCTATCCTATCACTGGTCCTTTAAAGTCTCATCTTAGATATCAGAAAACTCTAAACAGTATCTGCATCCCTTGCCTACCTGCACCCACCACCATCTAAGGACAGTTTTGATGGTGGTCTAAGCTCATGTTTGCATCCATTTCTACCTTGCGTGTTTGTTGTAGAAATGATCACATTGTGTTGTAATTGTCTATTCATTTCTTTATTTCTATGCCAAACTATAAACTCCTCGAAGAAATTAACTGTTTCTTTTCACTACAGGATCTGTAGTATACTGTAGATTACCAGTACCTACCTTATAGCCTAACATACACTAGGTACCTTTTAACTATTTGATAAATAAATAAAGTAAGGAGCAATGAATACTTTTTGAAATAGCAAGATGAGCTTTCTGTATAAGAAGGTAAATCCAGTGGGAAATAATGCTAGAAAGGTGAGATACTGGGGTCAAAGGAACAAATTGAAGGTCAGTAGCAATAGTCACTGTAGAGTAAGGAAATTCTGATCTTGGGTGGATCAGTAATGGCTGTTGGAGGCCTTTCACCTAATGGGATTTAAGAGAACTTGGTGACTGCCTAGACTTGAAATGCAGGGGAAAGAAGATTTCAAGATGAAACCAAACATTTATAGAAAAAGTCATTGAAATGGTTATGATGTCGTTTTGAACTGGGAAACATAGGAAAAAAAGCTTTGAAAAGGAATTGTTGGTAAAACCCAATGTTCAAGAACCAGCTGCGAAGATAGAAGGTGCTGAAAGATGAAAGAACAAGCCAGACTGACACAGGATTGCACCAAGTGCAATTTATTAAGGACTTACAGACAGAAGTGTGCTTCGGGTGGCAGCAAGGCAGAAAGATGCCCATACCCTGAGGAAAGGGAGTATATACTAAGCAAAAATATCCTGTGGCTATCTGAAATTTACCTGAACTTTCTCAAAACTATTAACATGTTTAACTACAGTTAAGAAACAGTTCCGTGCCAGTGGCAGGCTAGAAAGAGAAAATTCAGGGTTGTCCTTCACATAGGAGGTGTGGGGATGGAGAGAACATTGAAGAGACACTCTCAGTATAGGAAGAGCCCTGGGAGGATAATCTAGACTAGTGACAGGAACTCATCATGGCGGTGGTCATTAGCAAGGTCATTCTGAGCTCAAAACTTTTGGCCTAAGTTTTAACCTTATTCATGAGGTAGCTCAGGCCTGTGCTTGATCTTGGAACAGAAGTTGAACTGCACCTTAGGAGATATACTTGTAGACCTGTAGCAAATTCTGAGCAGATCATGAGGAAGTTAGGATGTCCTCAACGAAGACTCATATCTGTTTCAGTGGAAAATATGAGACTAAGGCATTGGCACTTTAGTGCTAGGATGAGTTTACCACAATTGATATGGACCCTTGTAGCAATAATTACTTTCATTACAAATAAAAATGTCCATGTCTCATTTTCCTTATTCTCCTCTAAACCAAACTTTCAAAAACATTTTCCATTTGATGTTTTTGCTTTCTCACTTGCCATTGTTTCCTCTGTATACTCCAGTAGGACCTTGTTCCTAACTATTTCACTAAAAGACTGTACTAAGCTCTACACTGCCTCCATCTTCCCCGTAGTCAGGGTTTTTAGTCCTCAAGGTATTTGCCGCAATTGATTATTCACTTTTTCCTGGAGTACTTTTTATTCTCTTTGGCTTCTGGAACATCATACTGTCCTGATTTTTTTTCTTAACTTCTAAATGTTGTAGTAATCAAGTAATTTCTCTCCATTCTTTGTCTTTAAATAAAATCTGTATGCATATCTTCAGCTCTGACCTTTTCCCAGCTCTCCAGTATAATCTATATAACTGACTATTTCATTGTCTCCCTTCAGTGCCTACTAAGTCATAAGGCAGTTTTTGTTGTTACCTTATGAGCTGGAATCCAGAGTGCAAAATCTTACTGCTTTCTTCCCAGCACATGTACAAACCTATAAACAATGCCAATAAACACAGGGGAAAGTGTTCCAATACTTTAGGCCCAGATAAGGAATTAAAATCTGATTGTTTAATTTAGTATATCTTAGGTCGATAGGAACTAGGAAGATATTAAGCAGAGAATTTAAAGATTCTCTTTCCCTTATAATAAGCACCAAAAGTATGGGTGTGGGTAAATATAAAACCAGTCAAGGGGGATGTGCTATATGAGAAGAATTCAATACCTTTAGGAATACTATTTTTAAAGCGGGAAGAGAAGAAGAGTTATTCATGAAGAAAACTAAGAAAGAGAAAAGCAAAATATATAATGTTCACTAAGCAGAAAAAATGTGTGAATGTAAGAAAGATGAGAAAGAAAATGTCAAATAGGAATCTCAAACACAGTAAGGAGCAAGAATCAGCCAGGTGTGGTAGCACATGCCTGTAATCCCAGTGGCTTGGGAGGCTGAGGCAGGAGGATCACAAGTTCAAACGCAGCCTCAGCAAAAGCAAGGTGCTGAGCAACTCAGTGAGACCCTTTCTCTAAATAAATACAAAAAATAGGGCTAGGGCTGGGGCTCAGTGTTCAAGTGCTCCTGAGTTCAATCCCTGGTACCCCCACTTCCAAAAATGAGAAAAAGCAGCAATAATCCCTTCAAACAATAATGTCTAGCTTAGGGAAAAATGACAAACTACAAGTACAACCATTCTTCTCACAAAATTTAATATTTACTGAATTGTATTCTTATCTAATTGAAATATTTATTAAATTCAGGTCTTTGCCATTTTTCATGTTATCCCTGCTTTACATTTTTATATTCTTGCCTACTGTTGATCTTGGACTCTTTTCAGCCCTCCCTGCATAGCTTTTCTGGCTTGATGCACGAGCTGCCTTTCCAGCTCACAACTCTTGGCTTCATGCCTACCTTGTGGCCCCTCTGTAAATTAACTCAGTAATGCTGTGCGAACTGGCCCTAAAACCTCCCTGACCACCCATGTGCTGTCCTGAAAAGAAGTTTCTACAAGGGGCTTAAAATATGTGTATGTGAATGTATAATGTATGAAATTAGTATGTACAAATATCTAACATTCTAGAAACTAGGAATATGTAAATAATTAAGAAAGATTAATAAAACAAGTTTTGTGTATAATTGGGTTGCTATCAAGAGGATCTATAGGAAGATAGGATGTGCTGATCTGCTTATGAAGAACACTTAGAAAAGTAAAGTGATCTATAAGGAGAGAAATATAGAAAGATACATAATACAATATGTATGTATATACATACAATATGTATATAGTGTATGTGTATGTATTTGTGTGTGTATATGTATGTATATATATGTGGGTATGTATGTGTATAAACACTCTGGTAAGTGCTAGGATAAGGGGAACAGAATATGAAAGTTCAGAGTCAAGCAAGGACTCATAGAGTTAGCTTTTGAACTCAATCTGAAGGGTACAAAGGAATTTGGGCATAAAACAAAAGAAAGAAAACTTTCCAGATTAGGAATACTTACACAAAGAAAAGGAATGTTGAGATGATACTTTAGGAGTTCTTCATGCGCTTTGGATTCTGATCCTAGACTGTACTTTCTAACTCATGTTCCCCTTTTGATATCTTCTGTCTCACTCTCTTTAAATGGGTTCATTTTATTCATTTCTTTCATACCTTGTACTTCTACTCCATTGATTTTTTTTCTATACTGCCTAACTCTCCAATTTTTTCTCTTCTTATATTTTTTTGCAAGATACCAGGACCTTCTTTAATAGCATCAATATATATTGGTTCTTCACATTTAATTCAACAAGCTGAATTCTGTGATATTATGATATTCACATTTAATCCAAAGAGCTAAATTCTGTGATATTACATGGGTCACCTTCAATTTCTTTTTTTCCCCCTCCAGCATGGAAGAACTATCATAAGACCACAAAGTCAACTCAAACACAGGACTCTTCATTTCAGAGATTGATAATGAACAGATCCAGAAGGAATGGACTTGGACCCTTGGATTTGAAATCAGAAAAATCTTGATATATGAAGGCAAATTAGAGAAAAAACAGGATTAAAAAGGAAATTTTTCAGATAGTTTCAGTCACCCACAAAAAAACCCTAACTGTAGAAAGAAGCCATAAAAATGTTGAATTTAGCCAGAACTTCAACCCAAAGTCAGTAGTTGTTAGGCAACAGATAGTTCCCAGAGAGAAACCACCACCAAAATGTGAAAAAAAGTCGAACACTTTGAAACATAATTCAAATTTACCTAATCAGCCAAAAATGACAGCAGGTAAATGCTATCAATGTAGTATGTGTGAGAAAACCTTTATTAATACTTCTTCCCTTCATAAACATGAGAAAAATCATAGTGGAGAGAAATTATTTAAATGTAAAGACTGTTCCAAAGCCTTTAGCCAAAGTTCAGCTCTTATTCAACCTCAAATAACTCATACCGGAGAGAAACCTTACATATGTAAATAATGTGGGAAAGCCTTCACTCTCAGTACATCCCTGTATAAGCATCTAAGAACCCACACTGTCAAGAAATCTTATAGATGTAAGGAATGTGGTAAGTCCTTCAGCTGAAGGTCAGGGCTTTTTATACATCAGAAAATCCATGCTGGAGAAAACCCTTATAAATATAATCCAGGTAGGAAAGCATCTGGTTGCAACACATCCCTTCCTGGTCAAAGAGTTCATCCCAGAAAGAAGTCCTATTTGTGTAAGGAAATGTAGCAACACCTTTAAATCTAGTTCATCCCTTCATTATCATCAGATAATTCACACTGGAGAGAAAACTTTCAAATGTGGTGAATGTGGGAGAGCCTTCAGTCAGAGTGCATCACTTATTCAACACGAATGAATTCACACTGGCGAAAAGCCCTATCGATGTAATGAATGTGGAAAAGGCTTCACTTCTATTTCACGACTCAATAGACATCGAATAATTCATATTGGTGAGAAGTTTTATAATTGTAATGAATGTGGCAAGGCCTTAATTTCCCATTCAACTCTTATCATTCATGAGAGGATTCACACCGGAGAGAAACCATGTAAATGTAAAGTGTGTGGGAAACTCTTCAGGCAGAGTTCAGCTCTCATTCAGCATCAGAGAATGCACACTGGAGAAAGACCCTACAAATGCAATGAGTGTGGGAAAACATTCAGGTGTAACTCATCCCTTAGTAATCATCAGAAAATCCATACTGGAGAGAAACCTTATCAATGTGGGGAATGTGGGATGTTATTTGGCCAAAGTTCAGCCCTTATTCAACATCGAAGGATTCATACAGGAGAGAAACCCTTTAAATGTAATACTTGTGGGAAAACATTTAGACAAAGCTCCTCACGTATTGCACACCAGAGAATTCATACAGGGGAGAAACCCTATGAGTGTGACACATGTGGGAAATGTTTCAACCATAGGTCATCCCTTACTAATCACTATAAAATCCATATGGAAGAAGAACCCTAGAAAGTAGATTTGCATGTGTAAAAGCCTTAAACCAAAGCTCATCAGAGAATACATACTTCAAGGGTGATGTAATAAATGTAATGGATATTGAAAAAGCCCAAAATCATTTAGTGCCCATTAGCTATCAAATCCCATGAACAAATCTTGATTATGTAATAGCTAAAAGGAAAGCATTCATACCTGTTGCTTTTTAAAATAACTTGAGGATTCATAAGTGGAGACACTAACTTTGGGCATTTGTAAAATAAAAGGTGTTTGATTTTCCTCTTTCCTACAGCAGTGTAGTCTAGCTATCACATGTGATCATCATAAACATCAAGTGGATAGGGATTTCTCTGGTTTTCTCATAAAAACACCAAACTCTACACATGATATTTTTTATAACATTTTAGTAGCATATGAGTGAATGAATCAAAGAAATTATACATTTTTAATGAAAAGGACCAAAATAAAAGATTAAAATAAACTGTAAACTACCTCTCAGTCTCTGGGATTTATCCTTTTCTTGTCTTAATGTCAAACTTTGCACATGAATTTCATTTAAAATAAAAAAGATTTCAGGGGCTGGGATTGTGGCTCAGTGGTTGAGCGCTCGCCTTGCACATGAGAGACCGTGGGTTCGATCCTCAGCACCACGTAAAAATAAATAAACAAAATAAAGATATTGTGTCCATGTATAACTAAAAAAAAATTTAAAAAAAGTTTTCATTAAAGGAGAAAGAAAAATCTGGTCTCTGATTTAGTAATTACTGTGAATTAAAAATTTCCACCTAATTTTTCTTTTAAGAAAAAAAATATTGCTTTGAAATTATTTATTATGAAGATATACCCACTAATATCTTGTGAGCTGTCACCTAGGGGTATTAAATACAAAATAGGCAACTATTTCAATTTTAAAGCTACTATGAGGTTTTCTCATTAAAAAATAAAATAAAATTTAGCCAGCCTCAGTAATTTAGCAAGGCTCTAAGCAACTCAAAAGCTCGAAAAATGTTTTTGTGGTGTGAATGCTCTTTCTCAAAATGTTGAAATTCTAACCTCTGAGGTTATATTAAGAAATAGGGCCTTTGGGGAAGTGATTAAGTCATGATAGTGGAGTCCTTGTGAATGGAATTTATGCCCTAATAAGATAGTCCCAGACCTGGTGAGGTGGCCCACACTTGTAATCTCAGCAGCTTGGGAGGCTGAAGGCAGGAGGATCACCAATTCAAAGCCAGCTTCAGCAACTTATCCAGGCCCTAAGCAACTTTGGAAAGACCTATCTCAAAATAAAGTTTTGTTTTTCTTTTTAAAGGGTTGAGTACATAGCTCAGTAGTTAAGCACCCCTGGGTTCAATCAATGGTACCAAAAAAATACAACCCTGGTGTAACTTGCTCTGCCCTTTAATCAGAGGATGCCATCTTTGAACCAGATGACCCTCACCAGACAACCGACTAGCACCTTAATCCTGGACTTCCCAGCCTCAACTGTGAGAAGTTTCTATTGTTCAAAGTTACCCAGTCTTGGATATTTTGTTATAGCAGCCCAAATAGACTGTCATATTATTTTGTAAATTATTTTATAAACTTGGTGTTTTTCCCTCCAAATGCTAGTGATCAAACCTAGGGCCTCCTGCATACTAGGCAAGCACTGTATACTACTAAGCTACACCCCGCAACCCAGTATTTTTTTTTTATCCCTGCTTCAAGATGTGTACTGTATTACACATTGCAAATTTTAAGAAAAAAGGCACAGACCTTCCTTTAAGAAGCCATGGAGTAGGGGAAGAGAAGGGAGTTGAGGGACTATGAAAGAAATAGGGAAATGTGTCACTGTATATAACTGCTTGTTTTATCAGACAAAACAGTTTAATTATGACAATATGTTGCAGTGCAAGAATGTTGTAAAGTTTTGCACTGGATGAAAAAAGAGCTGTAGGGGGCCTGGAGATATCAAAGAAAGCTTTGCAGAGGCAATGAGGCCTGAGCCATTTTGGATGATAAAAACTCTTGCAAAAGTGAGATAAGCATTTCAAATAAGTAAACTACATGTTCAAGAGTACAGGTGAGTAATATGGCACATTAGGAAACATGTAGAGCTAGTGAGCAGAAGAATAAAAGATATTAAATCCTGAGGAGAAGGCAGAGGCCACATAACAAAAGGCCTCATTTGCCATGGTAAGGAACTTGTGTTTTATCCTAAAATTAATATTCAGCCAAATGTGTGGGGCATGCCTGGAATCCCAGTGACTCTGGAGGCTGAGACAGGAGGATCACAAGTTCAAAGCCAGCCTCAGTAATTTAGCAAGGCTCTAAGCAACTTAGCAAGACCATGTCTCAAATTTTTAAAAAGAGATGAAGATGTGGCTCAGTGGTAAAGCCCTTCTGGGTTCAATCCCAGTACTAAAAATAAATAAATAAAATTATATTACTATCAAGCAAGGGAATTTGTTCAGCAACAATGTATAGAGGATCAATTTAGGAGGAGGTTAAAGAAACCTAGATAGACTGATGCCTAGAAATTTAGACTATTGTGATTCAAGTGATAAATGAATGAGAATACAAATTCAAGCAAGTGCTGCATGGATGAAGAATAGGAGACAAATAATCCTTTATTAGAATAAACAGGGTTATCCCAGGCAAATAGGAGAGGGTGTTGAGTAACAAGAAAGCTAATTTGGCCCACATATAAGGCTGCCAGACAGATGTCCTAAATTTAATGATTACATCTTGAATCCTGCACTGTCAGGACACCCTAAATGTATTCAGAAATTTTCTTCCAATTAGTAAAATATCAGCAGTTAGAGCTATTTTTTCTGCCTCTGTAATTGTCATTTAAATCACCTAAGTAGCAACACAAGCTGAAATCACCTCTACCAAGTGATCTGAGCAACCCTTTATGGTGTCTTCTGTATGTTTGGCTAAGGAAAGATGAAAGAGAACTAAGAGTTGAAAATACTTGCTTTCCATCTTAAAGAAAGGATAAGAATATTGTTTTGGCCAAAGTCCCAAGTTGTAAACAAATAATTATTAATAATTAGATGTCCAAACAGCACACATGCTCTAAAACCAGGGCCAGCCTTATTCCAGTGGACCTCCTTCTGAAAGTTAGGAAGTTAATGCCAACCTCTAGCTTCTGAAAGACCATCATCAGTTTCATGCTTCTAGTCAACAATCAGAAAGGACCTCACTTCAGAAACCATGTTCCTGAAAGGACACCAGTCAATACCCTATTCTAGTGACCACATTAACACAGTTGAAAATCTGTCTGTTTATAAACGCTCCTGCTTCTAAAAATCCACCAATCCTGGATACTGAACTTTAGGAACCTTGGATAACATCAGCTTTGGCTTTCTTCAGAGAGACTGTTCTTGCAAGTGCAGCTCTCCCGTGCAGGAACACGTGAAGCTCACCTTTTCTGCATATCAAGTTTAATTTATGGTTGAGTTTGCAAGTCTGCAACCATTTCAACAGTTCAACTTACTGTTAATTTACTGTTAGCCTCATGAATGAGACTATTAAATTCAGTATTTTAAATTCTTGCAATGATTGCTATAATCTATTTTATATTTTTTGGTAAGAACACTTAACTTTACATCTACCCTATTATCTATTTTTATTTGTGTATATTTGGATCTCAAATTCAAGTGCAAATTTTTTATTAATTTTTAAAACTTTGGGTTTCTGTTGAATGAAGGGAAAATCCTTTGAAGCTCTTCAATATGCAGTTGGTTATTTAGAATCAAAAACAATGGTTAGTCAGATGTATACTCCAGCATACACTAGTAGTTAAGCTAAGAGGTATATTATTTCCTCAATTTGTCCTGTAGAAATGGATAATGTAACAAATTTCCTGATTTAAAAAATTCAGATGAAAATAAAATCATCACAGCAGAAGTTGTAATGACCTTCCACACTATATTTCATCTCCTCAATCTTTCCAGGACAAATGACCAGCTGAACATACCAAAGGTATTCTCTGATTTTGAAATTGCAAACAAATTTTCAAGTGCCAGAAAAAAACTGCAATAATAAAATGTAATAGCTCTTCTTACTATTATTGAGATTATTAAAGATTTAAAATGCCTCTTCTTTTTTTACAAATATCCCCATAAGGGGAAAAATTTCTCTGAGTGATGCTTTACTCCTGAAAAATCTTGCTTGGTAGGCTATTTTATTCCTTCCAGATGAGACCTCAGAAACAATACAAATTTTTTTTCAGAAACTCATTTAATTGAGTTGAGTGAAGTAAAATTGTATCACTTTGGTTGAGAACAAATTTAGGTAGATGCATAAAAGTGCAAATAATTTTTAGTCAAAATTAAAGCAAAGTATAAAAGATTCTGTGAAAGGTGTTGGCTGTCCTTCCTGTATTCTGCATTTCTGCATAATGCTACACAGACACCTGTTAGCCTCCTATTAACACTGGTCTAATCATCTGGAATTTGTTTCCTTAATTCAGCATTTAAACTGAGCAGTTAAAAGGATTTTTGTTATTTTGTGGGCATTCAGAATTTCTTGATTCAAAACTTATTGGGACTTAGAGTTTCAGCCCTGATATGTAAACATCTTGGAAGTCATCGCTCCTCCTTACAACAGAAAAAGTTGGTCAAACTGAAAATCAATGACAGTTTCTTTCTGTTACAGGAATGGGACCTTCTAAAAAACTGAAGTCACATGAAGACACCCCCACTGGATATGTCAAGAGCTTTGTAATGTTTTGAACAACTAATAAAAAAAAAAAGACACCAGCACTTGGAAGCACTGAGTCTTGTGATCAAATCATAAAGATTTTAGACATGTTGCTCAGAGTAACAGGCAATGAGTTTATTAGGACTAGGAAAGGGGACACCCTCAAGGGAAAGGGGGACAGTGTGCCTCTCCTGCACTTGAGTTTTATTTGTGATTCCACAGAAATTTCCAGAGAGTCCCGCCAAAGTCCACCTCTTGACTTTTGACTGACAACAGATTGACATCAGACTTTCAAGTCCCCACTGCCATGACAACTCTAGGTCACCTTGGCCCATGCTGACAGTTCTAACTTGGATATTTAACTTTAAATTCTTAAAGCCAAGAAGGGCTGCGGGTAAATTGTGACATTATTTTAGGCCTGCATTTGTCCTGTAGATAACAGATAGTTTGCTGAGGAATGTGACATATCCTGTCCACTTAAGCCAGGCAGAGCTTCAGGTAAATTGCTTCTTGGAAAAGAAAGCATGTGGGGGTCAGCACAGTGGGCCCATTTTATAGAATTATTCCCTTATCCTCATGTTCCCATCACTGGCATCCGTGTGTCCCCACTCACTTCTATGTTTCTGAGAACTGAGGTCACAACAGTGTAATCTGGTGATAAAGACATATCCAGAAATAGCTGAAATCTGTTTGTTTGGAGCAGAAACTACTGGAGCCTTAAACTGGTGGGAAAACTTAAATGGTAATTTTGATGAATTGCCATATGTTGAGTATGTAACAGATTGAAAGTGTGAGAACCTGCTGGGGCCCAC